CTCAGGGGTGGAGATTATCTAAAAATGCGACTTCCAAAAGGGAGGAATCCTGGGGCCATCTTAAAGGCTGCCCCCTGTTGAGGAGGGTGTGAGATTGTTGAGATTAGTCTTTTGTTACGTTATATTAAAGGTGGAGTAGAAGTTTATTAAAGCTGTAGGAGCTGAGCCAAAGCAGGAGGAAGTCATATGGTTGCAGGATAAGGTTGGCTGACTAGTTTCTAAGAGATCTATAAATTCATGACTGTCCAAGGTCTGTCCCCCAGTCTTAGAAGTTAAAAAGCTTCTATATGCCTCTGTCTCCTTCAGCGCAGAAGATTGCTGATTCCTCTTAAATGTGCCTGGGGCCTGAGGACAAAAGGCCAGTGGCTTGATTTCTAAGGAGATGTACAGACATCCAGCAGGCTGGATGGCCATGTTTTCTGATCAGCAGAGTCCCTTGTGGAGGAGAGACACCTAGGCCAGGCAAGGAGCCGAAGGCCATTTGGAGAGCAAGTCACCCCATGTGGTTACATGTTCGTTAAACCTTAGAGGTGCACTAGCACCAGGCTTTCCTAGCCAGCTACACCCACCTTCACGGTGGGGGTGCCCGCCCTGCTCTGCTGGGCTCTGCTGCGGTCTTATCTAACTTCTCTGAGTCTCATTGCTAAGCGCAGCCTCCTCCCAAATCCTGCTTTTTATCAAAAATCAAATTTAGTTTGTTTTTCTTAAATCAAACTTTTATACACAGTTTATTCTAAAAGACCCGACGCTTCCAGCCACCTCCCTCCCCCATTTCCCACCCCCACAAGCAACTTTTAACTGGTTTCTTTGGTGGTTGCCTTGATGTCTCAGAAAATGTGTCTATTGCCACTTGTTGCTTTTGCAGTCGTAGGTGTTATTTATTGATTTCTCACCCTGGAAGATGAAGATTAGCTTTCTTTGAACCCTCCACCCCCACCACATACACACCCACCCACCCAGTACAGACATATAATCTTTCCAGTTTGATCCCTGCTCCACGATTACATTATCATGACTTGGAAAATGCTATCCAACCGAGCCGTGAGGTACATAATTATTATTTTTACACAACTTTTTGGTTCCTCTTGAGTTAATAGCGTATTAAGGAAAAATTTTGGTTGGTGTCTATGTACTTAATACTAATTCAACTCCAAATGCTCTCTCAGTTAAGGAAATCTTGCTATGTTCAAAACCTCGGCACCTCAGCTTCATCCCGAGGCAGCCTCGCCTGGAGGCCTCTGACCTGCTGTCGCTGGAAGAAGCCCGGCTACTCTGTGGCCCTGTCCCCTCCAGTCACTGCAGCCCGCCACCCCCCACCCCCACCCCTTGGATATAATTCATACACCAGACAATTTATGCTTCGAAGGTGCCCAGTTGAGTGGCTTTCGGTGTATTCACAGGGTTGTGCAGCTGTCACCACTGTCTAACTGTACAATATTTTTGTCACCCCCTCCCCCAAGGAACCCTAGATACTTATTAGCATTATTAGCAATCTCTCCCCGCCCCTCCTGCCCCCCTCCCCCCAGAAACCAGTACCCGTCCTGGACGTTTCGTGTAAGTGGCACGTGCGGCACGTGGCCTTCCTTTCGCCTAGCGTGGTGTTCTCAGGGGTCACCTGTGTTGTAGCAGGTGTCCGCGCTTCGTTCCTTCCTCTGTAATGGCCGTACGTGTTTTTTTCACCTTTTGATAGTTAGGAATAATTTTCTCACTCATGTTTGTGTGTTGGAGCCCCTGTTTCTTGGAATCCATTTCTTTCTAACTAGGTTTCTTATCTTTCTTTTGGGTGGGAAGTCACAGTTTTGAGAGGTGGCAAGTCTGAAAACGTCTTTACCTACCTGTCACTTGGTTAAGCTTAGTGTATAATTTTAGCTTGGAACTATTTCCCCCGATGGTGTCACTTCGTCGTTTTCTAGCTTACAGTTTGGCTGTTTAGAAATCCTACACCATTTCTAATTTTCTCTCCTTTGTACGACTCTGCTTCTCCTCTGGAAGTTTGCGCCCTCTTCTCTTTGTGTCCCCATGTTGTACAATTTCACCGGGAGGCGTGAGAGTGCGGTTCATCCGTCGTGCGGGCCGCTCGTGGAGCTCTTCCATCTCCGAGCTCCTGTCGGCTCCGGGCCATTTCCGGAATCATGTTTGATTTCCTCCTCTCTGTGTTACCACCTCCCTCCCCCCAACTTGAGCTTTTTTCATATGGTAAACCTCCATTTTTATTTTTTATCTTCCATTTCGTTATCCTTTGACTCTCTTTTCTGGAGATTTTCTTACTTCCTAGCTTTTATGTCTAGTGTTCCATTTCTGCTATCTTAGTTTCGCTTTTTTTTTTTTGGCTCTCTGTTATTTTTTTTTCTTCTTTTTAAATATCTTCCTATTATCGTTTCTCAGCTACACCATCTTTTCTCTCTCTGGAAATATTACTGCTAGTTTGCTTTTGAAGTGTACTTCTCCCTAAATTGTGTCTCTCCTCCAAGTCATTTTTCTCTGTCTGTTTACTGTGGTCCCTATCTTTCCTCTTAGGTGCTTGTCTCAATTGGAAGATGATTTCTGTCTGGCTGCACAGAGCGGGAGTGGAGTCTTAAAAAGCTGGCTTAAAACTCTGATCATTTCTTGGTGGGATGATCTGGCTATGCTATTTTTTTTTTTTTTTTTACTGGAGAGTCCCCCAAATTGGTCACTTCAGGTCTTTTCACTTCAGTTCTGGGAAAATGCTTTCTATTCCCTTCTTACAGGTATATGTTGGCTGCCTGCTGTTCTGCAAATGGGGCAGGGGGAGGGGGGGAATGGAAGGACCTCAAAATTTCAACATGTTTTATTTTGATCTATTTTCAATTAGATACCTCTGCCTTCAACTCAGTAGATACCCACTGCTTTACCTGTTCTGGAGACTAAACCCTTAGTCTTCTGTTTAATCCATTTTAATCAGGTGGTATTTTGATGTTGCCCACTTGAGGCTATGAATGAAATCTTTTCAGGTCTGTCAAGTTATTTACCAGTTATTTACTTTGTTCTCAGCTTCTAAAATTTTGTTGTCTTATTTCCTCTCTCATTCTTTTTCTTTAAGGGCAAGGCCTGGAGAAAGAATTTTTAAAATTGGTATTTTAATGGGATGCTGAGAGGATATAAATGTAAATTAATGTGTTTGGTCTGCTAATTTTAACAGGAAGTCCTTTAAATTTTTTCTGAATACCTATTTCAGGTTTCACATTGTTATCTGGTCACTCCCTGAAGTAGTGGTTGGAACTGTAGTCACTGCTACCAGGGTGGAAACCATTTAGCGTTTCATTCCAGTATGTTCTGTGTTGTCATTCAGGGGCCTTGATGCCTGTACGGGCTCTAGCTGGTTGAGGCTTGATGGACGATTGCTTAGTGGAAGGCTTGCAGATGGAGCCGCAGGTCAGTTCAGGCTCAGTGACCCCCATATTTGCTCAGCATGTCCCCACTTCCACGTTCTCCCTCCGTGCCGCTCCCTTTCACCCCATCCCCTTGTCTCTCAAATTCCAGGCACTGGAAAGCGAGCCTTAGATTCTTCTTTTGCCTGAGTGGCATCTCATCATTCTCGATCAGGGCATCCAGGAGCTTCACCTCCCAGAACACGCAGGAAACTGGATCTGCATAGTTGCCGCTGGCTTTCAGACTTGGGCTGATCCGTGTTCTTATTACACGCCATCGGAGCTTTTCCTTAACCACTGGTGCAGGAGTTCTTTCCTGTTCTTGTTCTACTTTTCCTGGAATCACCTGGTTTATTCCCAATTTTTATTTATTTTCTCTTCTCTACAAGGCAAGGATATATGGATATATACCTACAAGTAGAAATACCTCTTCGTGTCTACCGTGCTAATTTTTTTCAATGGAAAATTGTCTTCTAATTTTTTTTTATTTCACATAGTAAAGCCCTCCGGGGTGGGATCCAGTTCTGTTCAGTTAGCTTCAGAGAGCACACGGAACACGCTGTGTTCAAGAACATCGAACAAACCCTGTCGTTTACTCACGCAGTCTGTGCCTCAGCCCTCCTAGTCCCTTATGTCATTTGACCATCTTTTGCCCTGTTTTCAATGTCACACCTATGTAATGGCCTACGTGCTAATTCTAGCCTCTGTCATATCATGCCTGGGCGAATTCCCTTTGGATTTTCCTTATTTACCCCCTTCCATCGGTCCTGTGTAAATCAATAAAAACTGGGAATGAGCTAGATAATTCCAACCAATATTTATTGAGAATGTACTATATCCCAACCCCTGCCTTATCTTAAGACAGACCCAACCCCCACCTCTTTATCATTTATCTTCTTAAAACACTTTTGCAAATAAGTGTCACTGCACGTGCAAAAACCTGGTAAATGTCTGTCCATTAAAGTCGACGCTTCTTAACCTGGACTCCGTGGCCCTCACTCTTCTCTTTGCTTCCTCTCTCGATATCCTGCTGACTTTTGCGCTGACCCGGGAGCCAGTCTCGTTACGATGCCTTTGCGCTGCCATTATGCCTTGGTTTTAGAGGTTTTCCCGGAAGCTGCTTTGCTTTTGGTCTAAGTATGGTTGATCAGCGCCAGTTCTCATTGGCAGGCCACGTACTCTGACCCTACTGTCGTTTTAGATTGGGCTGTAGGCAGGCACCACCTCACTGGAAAACTTTTTTTTGTTGGAGAAAAAGAAATTCGACCAATGCAAAAGGTGCACGTGTAGGCTCTTCTGTCTTGCCAGCATATTGTCCGTTTTCCCCTGGAATGGGAGGTAGTGACAAAGTTGTTCCCCAGACTCACGTGCGTCTGTCTCTGTGACGGTTCCTCCATTTTTAAATACAGCTCATCATTTACTTCACTGCACGTGTGTGAAAGTGTTGCATTGTTGAAGTAGTCAGTCATTGTGATTCTTTTTCTCTTTAGAAAGAGCTTTCTCTCTGAAGAAGCCATTTGGAAAAGAAGAAAAAAAAATTTTTTTTTTTTGGCTGGGAGAAAAACTTGATTACTGTTAAAATATTTATGGAATGTCTTTCTTTTCCTAAAGTTGTACCAAATCTTTGGAATGTCGATGGAGAAGTTACCGTCACTGAGCAGAAGCCAGGGGAAGTCGCTGAGGAACTAGCAAGCTCCTATGAAAGGAAGCTCATCGAGGTAAGGCTGGCAGAGTCTGTGTGTTTATTGCTGATGTCGGCTGCTTTGGGAACTTTCCAGAAACAGGCCCAGCCTGATGAACAGATGTTAGCAAAACATCCAAACCATTATACCTGATAAAAGGAAGAGCTGGTTCTGTGAAACATACTATTTAATTGAGGTGTTGGGTAACTTCGACTAAGAAATAAGAGAAAACATAAATATGTAATGTTGAAATTAAGAAAGCAAATGTACACTTGGATTCGGAGACGATTAAAAACAGGAGAGCATGCCACGTACAACTTTGTGCTGATCAAGGTGACAATATGGATGAAATGGACTGTTTTCTAGGATAATGTTTATTATCAAAATTAGTTAAAGACGAGGCCGACTGCCTGAAGGGTAGCAAAAAAAAAAATCGTTCTAAAAGCAATTAAAGAACTGCTTCTCTAGAAGGTAGCAAGCCTGCAGGTTTTTACGGTGATTTCTAGGAAACCCTTCAAAGTATACACAAAAGCCCTTCCCTATTTATATTTACTTAAAGCATTATCTACATCTATACCTGTGTCTATATATCTATATTTATACATATCTCTGTATCTCTGTATTTTGGTTCAAGTGTGCTTTACTTTGATATATTTTTTTTACAAAGCCCTGACAAAGATAGTATAAGAAAAAATACTGTAGACTAGTTTCATTTGTGCATAAATGCGTAACAGTTTTAGAAAGCTATTACCCAATCAAATTCAGTCACACCTTAAAGGAACAATCCACATAAAAGTAGGGTTTATTTAGGATTTCAGGGATGGCTTAATGTTAGGAAATTCATCAAGTCAGCTCATTAATAGGTCAAAGGAGAAAAACCAGCTACCGATCATGATAGGTATGAAAAAATCATAGATAACATCCACCATCGATATCTGATAAAAATATTCTTGATAAACGAAGAGTGAAGGTGCTTCTTTGATATGATACAGTATTTTTATCAGAAACCATTAATTATCCCCATACTCAATGGCAAAACTAGGAAGCTAAGTTTTTGATGAGGCACCTAACACGTGAAACGTAGGCGTTTCTATATGTTGTGGTTACGTGGGGGTAGCGTTTATTACAAATCATGCGTGTTTATCTGCTTACACACTCGTAAGCATAAACTGTACTTGCAAGCCGCTGTCAGATCCACTTGCGTTAAGCACCAAACCGCTGCGTCACAGTGCAGATTTCTCTAGCCAGCCTTAACTTCCTTTTTTTATTTTTTTTTTGTTTCATAGGTAAGATGTTTTATTTCAAAATGACTATTTCAAAATTTTAAAATTCTTTTTCTTATTTTTATTACATTTATTGGGGTGACACTGGTTAATCAATTATATAGGTTTCAAGTGTATAATTCAGTAATGCGCCATACGTATGTCGCACTGTGTGTCCTTGTGGGAGCCCCTAAGCCTGGGAGCAGTGGAGTTGATGGCTTTGGTCGGCGTGCTAGAGGTGGGGTCGAGGCAGAGATGTTCCTCCAATGGCATTTACGACCCCAGAGTGATTTTTTTATTTTATTTTGGTTGCAGAGCAAGGTTCTGTCAGTGATCTTTCATCTGTGGATATTGTTCGCATTGAATTACACCAAGACTTTGGCCAATCCCTCTGTTAGCATAAATGGAGCTCTTTGTGATGCTTATCTGCCATTTTATTAATGGGTTGGCTTTTACCAAGAAAGTTGTAAACACGTGTGGGAATGGAGTCATGAAAGAATGTGGGGGGACAGTTGATGTACTTCTCTTTTTTTTTTTTTTTTCATTTGTCACTTACTGCCATGTATTCCTGGGCAGGCCACCTACCCTCCATAAGCCTTGTCAGTAAAATGTAGTCAGTGGCATATACAAGTAGGGTGGCTTTGAGGGCCCGGGTCAGTGCCTGTGGTGGACAGCAGGTGTCTCGATGCCTTTTCTCCCTTCTGTCCTGAGTTCCTGGAGGAATGACCTTCCCACCACTGCTTGCTGTTTTGGTGGAGGAGTAAATCTAAGTCCTTGCCCTCCTTTGGCCTAGGGGTGTGTGTGTGACCTGAGCCGGGGCGGCGGAGGCTCTGACTCCGGACTTACACAAGAGTGGCAGAAGTGCCGGCAGGCCGCTTATTCACTGGCGGGATCCCGGCACTTCCCCCGTCGTTCTTGCATTGAACTTGCCAGAGCTGTTTTGCTGCCAGTCCCTCTCTGAGCCGGATCCCCTCACTTTCCTGGCTGCTAACGGTAATTCCCGTTTAGCTCAGGTAGACTCTGTTTCTGATACCGACTTCCAAAGCTCATACATGGCTTCGATCGGTATGCATATGATCGGTAGATGTCATTTCCCTTCATTCCCCCTCCCACTCCGTGCTTACCAGGGCTCCCTGACGCTGCCTTCTTCACACTGTCCCACGTCTCGCTTTCCAGGCCCGCGTCCCTGCTGTTTGCTCACCTGAGTGCCGCACTTCAGTGCTGCCTGTTCATCCTCTACAAACGGATCTTTCCTCCCTCCCAGGCCAGCTGTTGATTGATTTTTCAACAATAGGATACTTATTATTTACTGTGTGAGTGTAGTTAGGCCCTGAATTTTTGCTCATGGGTGACATAAATGGTTTACTAGCCACATTTTTTCTCATTATGATGACAGAGTTACTCTTAATGGAAAAGTGAGCTTAAGCATCAAGCTGGTAAAAAATACATTCATAATCGCACACAGTAGATGATGGAACGTGATCATCATTTTAATAAAATATAAAAGTTCCTGAAGCAGCTCAGACCTTGGGAGCAGTTAAACCGCCAGCACTTTGCTTCCTGAATTGGCACCAATGGGTTCCAACACTCTTGATGTATTTGAGAGTCATTTTTAAAAGAACGATGAGCCTTTAAATACTGAATGTCATGTAAAGACTCAGGATAAAGAACTCTGAGCTGAGATCAAATGGAATTGATGCTCAAAATGAAAAGTATAGTGTATAGCGTGTTTTTATTTATTTTTTTTAATAACATGATGCTGAGTGATTATAACCAGGTTCTCACCTCATGTAAGGGGGAAAAATGGTTTTCTCATGAAACAAAACCGAGTATTTATGTGCTCGTTATGTGTGAGTGAAAACTGGTTAGGAGTTCTCTTTTCTAGAGGGATTGGTGTACTTCTCACTAAAGCGTGAATGACTAACAAGGGTAAACCTCCAAGGAGTTCTTAAAAGCTTTTTATTATGGAAAAGTTGAAATATGTCCAAAAATAGAATAGCATAATGAGCCTCTTCGTACCCATCACCCAGCTTCAGCAGTTTGTAACTCCTGGCCAATCTTGCTTCATTTCTGTCCTGGCCTACTCTTCAGTCTCATGGTATTTTGAAGCAGATCCAAGATTTTATATCATTTAATTTTTAAATATTTCAGAATATCTTTGTAAAAGATAGGAGCTCTTAAAAAACACACAGTATCATTAAAAGCCTTATAGAGGGGGTCCCATGCCGGTTCTAGTGAATCTCAGATTGGAATATCAGAGAGGGGGACATCTTTTGACAGAGCACCTTTCAAGGGGGCCCCTTGCTTACTGTTCCCCTCAGTTGCTTCGGGAAGGAACCTTAGCATCTAATCCGTGCAAGATGGTCACGCTCAGGTCTTTTCTGACTCTTGATTCTGCCATTTGCTCAGATTTATATATTGACTCTAGTTAATATCAACCACAGCCATGTCATTGGCACAGCTGCACTGGCCCTTGGGAATTGAAAAATTTGGAGATAAGGAGGTGTGACCACAGCTGGCAGGTCTCCACCAGGGCCGTGGGATTCCAGGCCGTCCATGTGCCCCGATTCATGAATGATCTCGTTCCCCAATGACGGTCTCTGAAGAAACAGCGGGCAGGCTGTATTGTACATGTGGCTCCATCAGTATTTTTTAAAAAATATTTTTCTTATGCATACCTCAAATATTTGTAAGCAGAGAAAAATATATCAAGCTTTCAGATGCCCATCACCTAACTGCAGCAGCTGTCACCTCGGGGCCAGTCCTGCTTCATCCAGACGTCCTCCGGCTTTCCCAGCTTCTCACAGAACTCTGAAGCAAATCCAAAGTACGACATTGATTTCATCCTAAAGTATCTCAGAATTTATCTCTAATAAAACATGAGGCCCCCTTTTTAAAAAAGAAAAAACCCTATAATATCATTATCACATCTAAAATTCAGCAATAATTTCTTAGTATCATCAAATATCTGGTGAGCGTTCAGCTATCCAGACAGATGTTTGGATAACGTTCTAAATGGGCTCCATCCACATGTTGTGACTGGTTGGCTGACCCCGTAAGTCTCTCAGTCTAGTTTCTCCCATTCGTATCTCCTCTCCCCTCCCTTTCTTTACTTGTAATTTATTAGTTGAAGAAATGATTTGTTGGTCCTGGAGGATTTCTCCCACCAGTGTTTTCTGAGGGTCTGTTATATTGTTTGGCACTCTGTGACCTATTAGGCACTTAGTGACGTTTGCTTAAAGAAAAGCAGCCATCAGACATTATGGTGGTAATAGCAGTTAGCGTAAGTTGAGAGCTGGTTGCCTTTCTCAGTCCCGTGTTAATTGTGTTACATGGGATCGTCTAATGTAATGTTCGCTGCATCTTTTCCGATGGGAAACCGAAGCTTGGAGGTGATAAGTCACCAGTCCAAGGTCACAGGGCTTGCGCGTGTAGAAACGGGATGTGACCCTGGCAGTCTGACTGTGGAGTCGGCGCTTTCCATTAATGCTTCGTTATGCCTGGCTAGAGACAGGAACCTGGCCGCCTGGCTTTACCTCCTAACTGTGAAGGAGAATAAAGGAGAGCCAGGGCCATGAAAGCAGTGATGAGCGTGCTAACTATGAACTCGTCAAACCCAAGGGAATTTCACAGGGATAAAGAGCGATAATAGGAATAAATTCTAGTTGACAGACACAGTTACCTGATGGAAGCCTTATCGATGTAAATAAACCTGAGTGCTTGCTCAGGAAGCAGGGCTGTTCTGATGTCCCTTGTGCTCATCAGATGTCCGCA